CCTAATAAACAATCGTGGTACAAAGCTCAATAAAAAATATTAAAAATGAGATTTTTCGTTATAATTCATCCATTTATGTAGCTAGGACCATGAAATTTCGCGCTGTTTTCACTCATTCTCAACAAAAGACTTACAGCGAAAATAACAAAGATCGGGTCACTATAACCTGCAGCCCCCATACAACTGATTGTTCAGATATGAGGTCTTTTATCATAACTCCTCCATTTATGCAGCTAGGAACATGAAATTTCGCACCATTTTCACTCATTATTAACAGAATACTTACAGTGAAAATAACAAGGATCGGATGACTACAACATATATCTTCCATACATCTGATTGTTCAGATATGGGATTTTACTGTAAAACTCCTTTATTTGAACAGTTAAAACAGATAAATTTCGTAAGATATTTTATAAATAATAATACAAAGTCTACTGAGAAAATCGTCAAAATCTATGCTGTATAAGCTTTTTCTCCTATAGCACTGATTGTTAAGATACCAGTTTTTGCCATATATCTCCTTTATGTACGAAACTAAACCCAATAAATTGTGTTACCGGTTTACATACCGATCACATAGCGGTGAAAATCACTTAGATTGGTGTCATATAAAGTATATCTTCCATACCTCTGATTGTTTAGATGCGATTTTTTATATAAGTATGTAACTCCTCTATCGATGTATGCAGATGTATTCAAAAGCAGTAATCTGTCAAAGTAAAATTTGCAGATGTTCATGAAAGGTATGAAGCCTTCGGTATAGCCGAAGACAGCGCTGCTCTTACTTGTTTTTTTGTTTTTTTGATTTCAGATTCAGCGACCTCAAAACCCATTGGCGATTTTTTTAATTTCTTAAATTATGGGCACAAAATGGGTATAAAATATCTGTGTAACTCATGAAATAGTCATTTTGCGTGAGCACTTATATAAAGTGCAATATGATTCAGAATAAATGTGCGAACATTTGTTTGGTGCAAGCTTTCGACCTGCACCTATTGCTTAATGCAGCATTGTGCAATCAAAGTCAAAACTTTAATGTTAATCTATATATAAATCTCCTAAGGCCAAGGCCACGCAGTGAGCGGCAAAGCGACGAGCGGCTGAGCGGTGAGCGGCTTAAAAGTAAAAAATGTGATATACTATTAGAGAGGGCCACGCAATGAGCGGCATTTCTGAATGGTTTGACGCTCAGGAATAAAAGCCGGTCATTGCGCGGCCTCGGCCTTATGCTGGATTTAAATGAGGCGATTTTCTAGGCGATTCAACATTACGCTGGAAAAATCGCTAGTGAAAATGGTGATTCAAAAATCGCTTGCCTCAAAATAGACAGCAAGTCACCTTTTGCTTGCGATTATTGCCTGTCAAAAAATCGCCTCATGTAAAGGCAGAATTACAGGGAATTGAAAGTAGTTTTATGGATTTCTTAAATTAAAAAAGAAATATACATAAACTTTTGGGGTTTTGGGATTTTTCCACTAGAGATGTCCTTTTCTTTCGGCGTACCTTATTTTTTTTTTTATCCTAAATCTATTTAAAAAATGCGCGTGAAGTGAAAAAATTCGGATGTTTCCATACACAACTTTTTTATTTATCCATTGATTTTCTTAGTTAGTAGCTTGATTTTTTTGTAAAATTTTTTCCCTATTTAAAATAGATTTTTTTCATAAATAAAAATTAAAATAACCATACCTAGAAAAACGGAATACACACTCATTTTTTGTGACTCAAAATTAAATTTACGTGTTTCGGCGATTTTTGTGTCAATGCAAAATTTGAAGTTTTCCTTACAGTCTAATGTGAGTAAGACGTTTGTTTAGCATCCTAAATCCCTTGTTTTTCTATCGAGTTCAAAAAATCATGTCAAACTCATTTGTAGCCAAAATTGACGAAGCTGAGGTGAATTTTTCTATAAGACATTTAATTTATCTGGTACAGGTTAAAATATCTACGACTCTTGTTGCACTTACGCATTGCCGTATAAAACAAAGCCTTTTTTGGGTCAAAACAAATTTCTTTTAATTGTTGGTCTTGTTGGGCAGTTAACAAAATTAGACAAGTGAGCGATAAGCCTTGGTAGTTTCGAGCGATTCATATCTATCTATTCTTCCGCACAATTTGTTTTCTAATAAATATTTTTAGTTAGAACTCATTTCCTTTTTAAAGAGAAGTTTTTCGTACATATTTTTTCTCGAACTGCTACTAACTATAAGCAGTAGTGTGCTATCAGGCAGCCAGCGAGCGCCATCAGGCATCCCGGCTAAGATTCAGAAGTCGTTCGGTGATTTCTCTAGAATGCATTAGGTATTTCCTAAATTACTTTTTCCCCCTTTGTAATTTGGCATTTGACGACAGGTTGGGAATTTTCTACTTAGTAGCTCTGCTGTGTATCTCTGTAATGGTGTGCTGTGAGCCACACAGGCACCGTTGGTCCCATGTTTTGCAAAATATTATCTATCATTTTGAACTTAATGCGGCGGTATTATTTTTTATGAGAGAGTATCGCGCATCGCATGAGAGAGAGACGCGAAAATTTGGTATTTCAAACGTTAAACTTGCGTAGCTTCGTGGCGCCCCGCGTCCCTATTTAAATTTATATATACCCTTATGGTCAGCTGATTAAGTAAAGTTACATTTTGCCCAGTTTTGGTTATTTCTCTT